TTATTACGCTGTATGGAGACGTCTCTTATTTGTTTTGCTACCTCGTTTTTGTCCACACTTCAGGGCTCGAATTTGCAAGTTCTTCCCACATTCACTGCCATCGTGGAATCCTCCTTTAACACGTTGACGACAGCGCGTGTTTTAGCTTTTTGGCCACGTGGACAGGAGCGATTTCGCGAGTGCGGCCGCCTCGCCTCACACCCGTAAATTTCGAGTGATACGTATGACACGAATGACCGCAAAACCATTACAGCAATATCGAATGCGTAGAACTCAATCGGGGTAGATTGGTGGAGTTACAGTTAAAAAATTGTGATGGCCATGAAAGAGCATTTACTGCTTTTCTCCGTGATGAATGTCAAATGTAACGTGATGCATTTTTGACGTGGGTATGCTGAAAGCATCTATTTCTTTTATCCTTTTGGGTTTGTATTTACTTCTACTACTCTTCTTCATTTACATGGTCGTGAGAGTAAGAAGAAAACAAGGACTAAACTGAGCTAACAATTTTGTAGCGCTTAGAAAATCTCTGCTGAACAGAAGCATATTTGACCAAACGGCAAACCGTGTTGTTACCAGTTATGTAGTGGTGTGAGCCTCGGAATGAATGTGAGCAATATGGGACTAAGTCGCGCAAGGGCGAAGAAAAGGGACAACGGGGGGGGGGGGGGAGGGAGGCGACGCGTCAACGCATTACGCTGTCTACAGTGTATAAAAGCAGTGAATGCGATAACTTTGGTGTGCAAAAGAAGTACACATAAGCTCAGTGGAAATTAGGTAGCAAGGAAAGTAGGTGTTCTATTCCGTGGAGAGGGGCGCGCTAGTAACACGAAAGCTTGAATCTAAAATTAAAGGAATCTTCCACGGAAAAACATCGCCTCCATTCCTACAAAAAAACGATACCTTAGGCCCCTTGCTTCATGAAGATAGCAAAAAGAACGGAACATAGGCGATGGTTTTGATAATAATTATGATAACCAGTTCGACTATGAAAATTTTGAATTCCCGCTGTAAAACTTCCACAACTGTTAGCGGCGTGGAGTCAACACGTGCAAACGTGTCAAAAGCGTGAACGTGAACTGGATTCATGTTGGGCCCTTCCCATAAACTGACACGTGGATCCGCACCTGCCACGCACTTCGTCACAGAAGTCCAAGGGCTGTTTCTCTTGGGGGTTTCATCATTTTCGCTCTGAACTTTGCATATGGTCTTCAATGAACACGCCCAGCACCTGTACACAAGGAAAGGATAAGCAGCCTTTCCGTGGAAGACTTCCTTTTAAGCTCAAATGAGTCTCGCCTCACGCAGTCTTGACATTTGAGGACGCGTATTGATATCGATAAATGTCGATTACATACATTATCGATAACTTCGTATAGCATACATTATACGAAGTTATACGATAAATTTTGCATAAATAAATGAGTAAGTAAGTAAATAAATAAATATTTTCGAAGCTAAAAAAGTGCATTCATTCCGTGTTGGGCAATCTCGCATTGTCATCCATAGTGCCTTAAAAATGGTGCCGTCGTCCGAACAGCCTTTGTCTAAGTCGTAAATTCGTCCACCGACCATTTCAGCAGGCAATGTGAGGGTTTCATTTTTAAGCTTTTGGCCGCTTTTCTGGTCTGTTCTTAACTCCTGCACCATTCTGCATAGAGGCATCCAAGAGAAGTTTTCCGAACGATTCTAATAATTCCAACTAGATACGGCTAGCCTTCCTTATCATGAAGTATCTGGGACCCTTTCTAATGAATGCTTTTTTGAATTAATTTAATCGTGAAACCGATTCCAGTAAACGCTCGCCTGTTCTGCGCGTTCGTATTGCTTCGGCTCCGAGTGTGATCGATGAGAGTTTGCACGAATATTTGGTTCTTTGTATAATCACCATGTCCCTAAAACTGATTTTGGAATTCCTTAGTTTACGAGGAATTTCAGTGAAAAAAATCTTAGCGATGGTAGAAGTATACCTTGACAAGATCTTTGGCATCTTGTAATTGCAGGCGTTCAAACATTCGTACGATTTTCGTGTTGTCCATCTGTTTCATACTTCTTCTGTTCACGAGAAGCGGCTTCAGGTAGTTATTGTTGACATACTGGAATCTGGAATGGAAGTCGCTTTTTGTAAATGTCGGTGAAGTAGTTAACGGAATTTGTAGCATCCCGATTCCTAGGTGCAATTCGAACTGTATTCTTGGGAGAAAAAGAGTTCGAAATGCAGAACAATTTCGGAAAGAGGCAAAATCGGGAAATTTTTTGAGTCCATTCGTATTTAGGAGTTGAATAAATTTACTAGTTGAATGCCTCCTTTACTCACAATCACTTAGAATGCATCACGTAAAAGTTTGGGTGGAGGACTATTGTGCGCCTCATAACTATGTACAATTTCGTCCATGTTCATGAAAGTGCTGAAGGAGAAACTTACGATTCTCTGATCCAGTGATGTCCCTTGAAGCCGGCGATATCCTCCATCCCCGACATTGTGTAGTCTATTAACTGCAATTTATTCTTTGATAATCAAGTATCTGTATAGTATACATACGTATATTTGTTTTTATTGATTGTTTTCACATATTTTCAAGACCGCCAGCTGCGCTCAGAAGGTTGGGAATGTTAGCAACAGTCAGAGAAAGTTGGACCTTGAGAATGGTTAGGCACTTGAGCAATTAATTGATGATTTAAAGTCTTTATTAATATGATTAACTCCGCTGGTTTGTAAGCTTTAAGACATCAGGACATCGTTGTGTTCTTTTTGAAGAAAAAGCAGCACAACCAGCGACCATGGACTATACTTATTATGCTAATGGGAAAGGTAACTCAGATACCTTCTTCCCTTTCTTCCTTCCAGAAGATATTAGCTCTTGATGAGCTCTGTATTGGAAAAAGATAGAGACCAAGTAAGTGTTTATGTTGGTACGTAGAAATCGCAAGAAGCTCGTTTAGTCATTCAAGGAAATTTTCCGTAGTACACTGGAAAGCGCGACTGAGCATGGGGTGAGTGAGCGAATCGTTACGAACAAGCTGGTAATCATATCATCCAAAGCTGCTCGAAGTGGGATTTTATTGTCATTAGGAAAAAATGACATTCCATTCCACCCGTTCCATTGAAAATGAAGATACGAGTGGTCAGTGATGCAGTTATGAAGAGAAAACTAAGAAAAGAAGGCTAGAAGATGGGATTCTTTCTTGCCCGTTGACTTCCACGGTACCGCCCTGCTGGGCGGCTAGGGGCATACCCTTCGCTGAACGCGCAGCGTTCCAGACCTTTCGCGGCTCGCCTGCCCTTCGACTAGGTACCCTTCTTCGACCTCTCACCTTATCGTGATATCCTCCTTCGAGGTGGAGCTGTGCCTCGGTGGTGTAATCAGTAGCACAAGTGGAGAACGATAGATAAGGGTTCGATTCCCGCTTGAGGCGAAGGGTTTCACCATTACTCAGCATCCTTGTGAAAACTGTCAATAAAGTCATCATGTGCTCCTGCACGTACCTACTGTAGTGTCTTCGGTCGTGAGAGATGCTGACCTTCAGCTACACGAACTTGTGTCCAATTTTTCAAAAAACATCCGTCTACTCTACGCTCTTTCCGTCACAGGCTATTAATATCACTTTCGAAACATTTATAATAGCAGACCTCTTGATAAATGTGTTCGGTCATGTTTTTCTTGTGGACGTTCTTCTTCTCTACTTGCAAGAACTCTGCGATCGGCTTCAGAGTGATCCCCTGAAATTCTGAACACTGTGCTATTTACAACAATGCTTTCATTTTGAAAGTGAGTTAGATACTAGTCGAAAAGGAAACAAGGTTGTGGGATTGAAAGGAAGAAAATTGGAACGGATGAATGATTTGATGGTTCAAAGAAAGTGAAAAAATTTTACCTGTAGGAAAACAGTGAAGTAGATGACGACGATGCAACTTGTGATGAACATGTTCTTGGCTGGAATATTTGGTAACGCTACCACAAGACCGTAAGCAATAGCACCACGCAGACCACCGTAAGCCATGATAAACTGATCAACCTTAACAAATCGTGTGGTGGTTTCACAATTGAAATTTTGACACACTGTTCAGTAATCAGTTGGCGTGTGCCGTAGCGCTCTTTCATTAATCGAAACCTGTTATTGTCAAGCAAGCTCTTTTTCTCGTCTTATTTTCTCCTTTTCCTTCGTTTCATTTTTTCGGCACTACACCCGTCAGTATGAGAAAACCCGACATCTTCATTGATCGTCCCTGTTCTTTATATTAATTCCAAACACTGACGATCACGCAAGGA